CGATCGTGATCGCGACGCAAGCATGCACTCAATCCCAATCAAAGTTTTACATAATTTACTTTTCAGAACCCATGTTTTCCTGCTCCCCACTCCTCTTAATTTTCTCTCGCATTTCAGGCTTTAGCTCCAACCAGCTCTCCATGATTGCGACGCAAGTATGCACTCACGCGATCGTAATCGCGACGCAAGTATGCACTCACGCGATCGTAATCGCGACGCAAGTATGCACTCACGCGATCGTGATCGCGACGCAAGTATGCACTCACGCGATCGTGATCGCGACGCAAGTACGCACTCACGCCGATCCTGATCGCGACGCAAGTATGCACTCACGCCGATCCTAATCGCGACGCAAGCATGCACTCACGCCGATCATGATCGCGACGCAAGCATGCACTCACGCGATCGTGATCGCGACGCAAGCATGCACTCACGCGATCGTGATCGCGACGCAAGCATGCACTCACGCGATCGTGATCGCGACGCAAGCATGCACTCACGCGATCGTGATCGCGACGCAAGCATGCACTCACGCGGATCCTGATCGCGACGCAAGCATGCACTCACGCCGATCATGATCGCGACGCAAGCATGCACTCACGCCGATCATGATCGCGACGCAAGCATGCACTCACGCCGATCATGATCGCGACGCAAGCATGCACTCACGCCGATCATGATCGCGACGCAAGCATGCACTCACGCCGATAATGATCGCGACGCAAGCATGCACTCACGCCGATCATGATCGCGACGCAAGCATGCACTCACGCCGATCATGATCGCGACGCAAGCATGCACTCACGCCGATCATGATCGCGACGCAAGCATGCACTCACGCCGATCATGATCGCGACGCAAGCATGCACTCACGCCGATCATGATCGCGACGCAAGCATGCACTCACGCCGATCATGATCGCGACGCAAGCATGCACTCACGCCGATCATGATCGCGACGCAAGCATGCACTCACGCCGATCATGATCGCGACGCAAGCATGCACTCACGCCGATCATGATCGCGACGCAAGCATGCACTCACGCCGATCATGATCGCGACGCAAGCATGCACTCACGCCGATCATGATCGCGACGCAAGCATGCACTCACGCCGATCATGATCGCGACGCAAGCATGCACTCACGCGATCATGGTCGCGACGCAAGCATGCACTCACGCCGATCATGATCGCGACGCAAGTATGCACTCACGCCAATCATAATCGCCCCGCCCTCTCTCTCTCTCTCTCTCTCTCTCTCTCTCTCACTCACTCACTCACTCACTCACTCTCTCGAACGGTCCTTGCATTAATCAGGGGGGGTGTTACAAGGAAGATGCAAAACACAAGCAAAACAAACAACCAGAGCACAATGCTACCAAACACACCTACTTCTTCCCACTCCCGGCCCTCTCTGTCCGACCCTATTGGTCGTAAGGGGCCTCAATCAGCTGGTGCAGCTGTCCCTCGCTGAGAGGGATGATGGGGCCCTGCATGCCGAGCTCATCCGCTGCCAAGGCCTCGTTGGTCTTGGAGCGGAGGGCATTGGCCTGCGCTCTCTGGAGGCAGACACTCCAGCGCTGGCGGTACTCCGTCAGCAGCTTGGCTGCCTCGTATGGGGTAGGTGTTGCGTTGTAACGCAGCTTGGCCGCCAGCTCCGTGCACTGCCGCAGGTAAGCCAGCACCCCCGGGGAGGGGTAGCCGTATGTCTCGTCTGCAAGGGCGTGGAAGCCCACCTACGCGTTCCTTCGCGCGTATTTCTCCTCCTTCCTAGCAGCTGCCGCCCTGGCCACCCACCCTGGAGCCCGACTGCATTCTTCATCCAGGTAGGACACGGGATCAGTCACAGTCACATCGCACAACCACACCTCTCCCATCAGGGGATGGCGGATGGTGACATCCACTTTTAGGTTCTCAACGAGAGAGTAGATGTATGTCTCTTTGTGCACTGTGAAGCCCGCCTCTGCCCCGATGTTTGCAATCTCGTCTCTAATGGCATGGTGCGTAGCTGTCCTCCCCTTCCCCTTCTCGCAACGCAGGAGGTGGTTGGGGAGGCGGTCATCAGGGAACGTGGTGCGGTACCGGCAGTTGCAGCGCCTATGCACCGAGAGGGGGAGGCCTAGGCGGAAGGCGGCTGCAGTAGAGAGTTGCGAGGGGCTCATCCGGAGCGAGGGGATGAGGGGGATCGCCAGCAGCCAGTCCCCTGCTCCCAGGCCCAGCACTGATTGCATCCGCTGCGCGTGGCCAGAGAGGGGGTTGGGGCGCATCTGCCTCGCCTCGTTCATCATCCGCAGGAAGCGGCGGGTGTGAACCGCCAGCGCCAGGGACTGCTGCAGCTTCAGGCCCTTGGGCTCCGCTCTCCCTGCCTGGAGGGCCTCGAGTGCCTCGGGGGGGAGGGCTGCTTCAGCAGCTGCGAGGCGTGCTGGCAGTGCGTGGGTGGAGCCATGGGCAGAGTCCAGGAGGGGTAGGAGCTCGGCCACTGCTGGGTGCAGCGAATCAGGCAGGGAGTTCAGGAGGTGGGTCGTGCTAATCACAGACGCGAGGTACGCGTAGCTCCCTTCAACAGCAGGGTCGGTGATGCCAAGCCCACCCAGTGTTATGGGTAGCGCTGCCTGCCGCCAAATCCGCCACCTCCCTCTGTTGCTGCTCCCCCCATGCCGACCATACAGCGTCCGGGAGCACCTCCAGCGGGGTGGTCCTTGCCAGAAAGGTGGCGCGGCGGCTGACGCAGCGGGTAAGGAGGAGGAGGCTGAGTTGGGGGTCCATTAATGCTAGGAGGGGCAGTGGTTCCGCTGCTGCTACTAGCCGCTCTCTCATCGCGCTTGCGCAGCCCTGGGGAGTGCTGATGGGGCTGCCAAGGACCTGCAGCCCTTCATTTGAGATAGTAATGCCAGGAGGTGCGGAGGAAGGGTCAACCGCGGAGGCTGACCAGACCGCGCACTTAGATGGGTTGTGAGCTAGGCCCAGGGATGCCAGAGTGGTCGTAAGGTGGTTGAAGGCCGCGGTGAAGGCCGCGGCGTCGCCGAGAAGGGTAATGTCATCGGCGTAGGCGAGCAGGACCACCTGCGGGTGCGCTGCTGCTGTGTCCGTGAGGCAGGGGTGGTCCGAGTGGTCCGTGAGGCAGGGGTGGTCCATGAGGCAGGGATGCTCGCCGCGAAAAGGAGTGGTCCGAGCGGATCCCCTTGGCGCACTCCTCTGGCGCTCTGCAGTGGGGCTGCGCCAAAGTCGTTGTCGAGGAGTAGCGAAGATGGGATGCCGTACGAGAGGCGAACCAGAGGGATGAGGTCTCCCAGCGCCTCATTCCGTAGTCCCTCGAAAAACGCTCTCCGTTCCACCGCGTTGAAGGCGTTTGCAAGATCTATTTGCAGCGCCACAGCTTCCGGGTGGACCTCCAGGTACGTGCGAGCTGTGTGGATTGCAGCTTCGATCCCCCCCGCTATCGCCACCCCGAACTGCAGGGGTGCGAAGTGTCCTCAAGCGGCGGGAGCTGTCAGAAAAAGGGCCGCCTTAGCGACTATGCGGAGGAGGCACTCTCCTACCGCTATTGGCCTCGTCCCGCCCTGGGGCTTTGTGAAGGCTAGGAGGCGGGAGGCTGTGAGGAGTTCCGCCGCGTCGTCACTCAGCTTCCCTGCGAGCGCCGTGTTCGTTAGTGCCAACAGGTGAGTGAAAACTTCCTGGTTCCCTAGGGCCGCATCCCTAATGTGCTCAAAGGTGGTGCCTGAGGGGCCCGCTCCAACTCCGTTAGGGAGCTTCCCGATGAGCTGTCTGAAATCGCGGGGCTCTATGGCCGGAGGATTTTCTGTGGAAAAGGCATGCATCCGGTCAGGCAGGGACTGCTGCGCAGGCGGGTGACGAGCAGTGAGTGCCTCCAGCACTTTAGGTGAGGCAGGTGAGACAGGCATGGCTTGGAGGGACTGGAGTGATTTCGACAAATTGCCGCGTTTCGCCAGTCCTTCCGCTCTGGCGAGTATCCCGGTTGTGTCAGGTGCGTGGCAAGGTTGGGGAGGGTGGAAAATTGCTTGGGGGACTTCTTTGTACAGGCCTGCCCAGAGCCCTTGGCCAAATCTGACGAGGCGTTCCATCATTGCCTTCCAATCTGGCTTTCGAGTTGACGAGGTGCGAAGTAGGATACGCAGGAGAAATGTCAGTAACTTCCAACCTGCTGCGGACTCCGGATTGGCTGCCAGGTGAGCAATGGGGTCAGCATGCAGACTGCAAAGGAGTCGCGATGGTCTTTGGGTGGGTGGCGAGCGAGTGGAGGTTGGCGACTGTCGCATAGGGGGTCAATATCCCAGTCCGCGACTTGGGTGAAAAGGTCAGCTTGCTTCGCCAGGTCGTCAGGTTTAAGCATTGGCGGGGTGGGATTCTGGATCGCCGGGGTTCCATTGGCTGTTGCAGTGCTGACCCCGTCCAATGTCACGGCTCGGTTTCCCCCCCTTGGCCCAATTCCACCTGCGACCCGATTCCTCCTCCCATTGTTGTTTCCCCCTGCGACTCCATTTTGTGCAGCGGGACCACCCCACTGGTTGGGTAATTCCGCCCCGTGTTGGAGAAGCTCCTCATCCTCATCAAAATCAAGCTCCAAACTCCCCTCTCTTTCAGGGTTAAAAGCAGGGTCACCCACTTCACTCTCGTCATTCTCTGCTTCCAAGTCTTCCTCGTCGTTAGCAGCCTCCTCGCCGCCTCCTCCGCCGTCCTGGAGTAGTCTCTCGACCGTTCTAGCGTAGCCGCTCGCCCCTGTCCGCCGGGCCCTACCTCCACGTCGGCCTCTCCCGCTCCCACGTCGTCCGCGGCGGCCTCCGCCTCGCCCCACCTGTATACCACGTGGTCCCCTTCCTCTGTTCGCTCCTATGCGACCCGCTTGAAGGGCGGCGGTCCCTTCGTCCTCGTTTTGACGGCGCGCTGGCGTCGGCTGCGGTGGCATCGGGGTGACGGACCCCTCCGCGGGTCATGATCGAGCGTTGGAGGGTACTGCAGATAGCGCGCAGCAGGGGCTGGAGCCTACCGCTCGTCGTCCGCGTGCCTCTGCGCGCCCCTCCGCAAGTGAGCCCGTCCGCCGCTTCGAGCGCGGGCTATCTCTTCCTCTTCCACCGGTTCCCCAGCCCCCCTCGCCGGAGTACTCGTGGGTTCCTGCTCAGGTTGCCTCGAACCGGCCCACTGGTCAGCCGCGTCAGGAGCGCGGGCGTTCGCCGCCACGTCAGCAGCCGCAGCAGCAATCTCCTCGCCGCCGTTCTCTAGAGTGTCGCGATGATCACCGGGACGGAGCTGGCGATCATCTGTCCCCCGCGGGCCGTCGCTCTCCTCGCCACCAATCCCCTCGTGGTCGGGCAGGCCAGCGCTCACCCCGAGCGCGATCCCCCGCGCAACGCTCTCCGCGGCGATCTCCGGTGACGCGGGGGAGGGGGTCGCCTGGGCGTCGCTGGGATTCGGGTCGCCGCGAGCAGTCCCCCCCGCATCCGCACTCGGCTGGTTCCGAAGGCCGAAGGGGCCGGCGGAATGGCGGTGGGCGTGGCGGTAATGGTCGCGGGCAAGATCCTGCCCTCGATCGGGCCACGAATGCGTTTGCGGAAGTGGTGCAGCGGGCGCGGGCGAGTGGGGAGGAGACTCACGTACACATTGCGGTGACCAACGGTCCTCCCCTCGACTTGGACCCTGGCCCGGTGGCTCCTCTGCGCGCGCCGACGCTGCGCAAATATCTGCCCGCGCGGGAGGGGAGGGCCCAGTTTTGCACCCCTCGTCAGGTCCCGGGCTTCTCCGCGCAGCGCTTCTCTGTTGGCCGGACTCCTGGCTGGCCGACAGCGTTTCCGCGCGAAGCTCCGACTACACCCCCCCCCATTCACGCGGGGAGAGACCCCATGCTGACCATGTGCCGGATTCTGAATATGGCGGAGGCGTGCGAGGTGGTGGGGAACCTGCAACTGGCGGTGTGTGGGGCCACGCGGAACTTTCCGAGCAGTTACGGTCCAGGGTCCCGAGGATCCTGCGTCTATATGGCAGAATCTCTCGAGTCGCCGTTGGCACCCGTGTCGGAAGCGCCCGCCGGGGTAGCGCCCTTAGCGCGTACCTTCCCCCGCCACGTGGGGGACCTTGTTGGAGCTGCTCGAGTCGGGACCCCAGTGGACACATTTCAGTCGTCGGCGCATCTCCTCCTTGCGATGTTGGCGTGCATGCACTCGATGCTTGAGGTGGAGGGGGCAGAGCCGTACACGATGTAGGCTTCCGCCGCGTGTAGTACTGCATCCCCGTAGCTCTTGTTGTCGCCCTTCTCCCTTGCTTGATTTGTGTGTGTGCTTTCTGTATAAGCCGATCCTTCGATTGTTGTCTTGCCACCAAGAGCGCGCGGCCGAAGGCCGCGCTTGCGAGCGGCGGTGGCTGAAGGCCGCCGGCGCGAGCCGCTGAAAAATTGAACCCGCACGAAATAATGAGCAAGGAGAGGCACGAGCAGCCCTTAAGTAGGCATGGAGGGCAGAGCGCAGAGGGCTAAGGTTCCTCTCTCTCTCTCTCTCTCTCTCTCTCTCTCTCTCTCGCTCGAAGCCGCTGAAAAACCGAACCCACACGAAATAATGAGCAAGGAGAGGCACGAGCAGCCCTTAAGTAGGCACGGAGGGCAGAGGGCAGAGGGGAGAGGCAGAGGGCAGAGGGCTAAGGTTCCTCTCTCTCTCTCTCTCTCTCTCTCTCTCTCTCTCTCTCTCTCTCTCTCTCTCTCTCTCTCTCTCTCCCTCTCTCAAGCGGTCTTTCATTAATGTGTATACAGGGTACAAGCAAGGCATGTGTAAGATCTTAGCAAGCAAACCCTAGGCATGCAAGAGATATTATCTTGGTATTAAGCAAACATTCTAGGTATTTGGCCGGCTAGCGTGCAACCATGCGACCCCAACTGTGATCAGGCCAAGCCAACACCCTCCTGTAAGGTCTGCCCAATGGCTGGTCTCTCTCTCTCTCTCTCTCTCTCTCTCTCTCTCTCTCTCTCTCTCTCTCTTTCTCTCTCTCTCTCTCTCTCTCTCTCTCTCTCTCTCTCTCTCTCTGTGATTGCCCCGCCCTCTCACTTTGGTGTGATCGCCCCGCCCCCCTCTCACTTCTGTATGATCGCCCCGCCCCCTCTTACTTCTGTGTGATCCCCTCGCCCCCTCTTACTTCTGTGTGATCACCCTGCCCCCTCTCACTTCTGTATGATCGCCTTGCCCCCTCTCACTTCTGTATGCTCACAACAATGTCCAAACTTTCTACGACGTTTTCCCCTTCCAGATAAAGCTTTTCCAGCATCTTGTTCGACGCATCTGCCATTGTTATCTCTTTGGTTGGCACTTCATGTCCCCGCACTTCTTTGCGGCTCGGTTCTGCAGCGGCTGCAGCACGAAAAGTTCATTGCCCGCTCCTTTGCAATGCCCACTACCCATAACCTGTTACAGTAATGCATACATCTCCCCATACCCCCCCCCCCCCCCGGTTCTACTTTTGGAAGCGATGCCAACCTCTCAAGCCTGACAGCGCTATCTCACCCGTTCATATACCAAAGAGAGACTGTCTATGCACCCTCATGCCTCTCTCAGTCGTTTCTAGATCGTCCGGTTTGCTATGTCACATGGCATTATGTCTTTCCCTTGCTTTTTATCTGATGCTCGCTTCTCCTTCTCCTCTCCCACCTCGCCCCGCCGCCCCAGCCTTTCTGCATTGCCTTCAAACTCAAGTTATTGTTCAAGCTCCCAGTCCATCTTCGTGAATCATTGTGGCCAACGCTTTTTCGTTCACATCCTCTCTCTTGCCACCGCTTGTGCATGGCCTCGTGACTCAGGAAACCCCTTAGGCCCGCGGTCAGCCGCCATGGACCGCCTTGCTCCTGCACGCGTACATTGTTGTCTCATTCGCCTCTTCTGCCCTTTCGACCTAACTTCGATGTTGAATGTTGAGGCGACTATCCCGCTCATGCCCCCTCCTGACCCCTTCCTTTCTTCGCCCCTGCCTTTCTTTGCATTGCCTTTCTCACCTTGTTCACATCCTCTCCTCCCATCTCCTACCTCCCACCTTCCATGCTTATAGGTAGCCGTCCTCGTCCCCACAAGTTGAAAACCTCCGCCCCATCACCCTCACGAACTCGTACTACAAAAATCTCACTATTTGTCTTGCCCACTGCCTCCAAACCGATCCCCCCAGATTATCAACCCATCCCAAACCGCCTTTAACAAGCATTGCAAATTATACAAAACTATCAATGACACCTTCAACATTATAGATTGGGCCGCCGTCACTACATCCCCTCTGTTTGCCGTCACGGCCGACTTTTGCAATTAGACCAGCCATTCCGCCTCCGCGCTCTCCCCTGGCTTAGTGTTCCGTACGATTCATTCGCTCAATTCATGTCATGCAATCCAACACGCCAAATCGTGTATTTCTCAAAAATCTAATTGGCTCCCCATTCTTGGACCGTATGGGTCTCAGTCAATGCTGCCCTCTTGCTCCCCCCTTCTTCGTTTGCGTCATTAAAATTTTCCATCGCTACATTTCCCTGTTCCTGACTGGCTACCCCCTCTCCGTAACACCACCTGATGACCTGCAATATAGAGGACGTCACCCTCTTTCTCACCTTTGACCAGGAATTGGGATGTGCTGTGATTGCCTCATTGCCTCGGCTTCCTGCGAACACCCCGTCCTCTTGTTCAGCCCGCCCGTTATAGTTTTCACTCAGGTCAGGACTATCCTCATCCCGGCCCCGCGTGAAGATGAATGCATCCATGGATTTACAACCTGGAACACCACCCTCATGCGCATCCTGTGTACGGTCAGATACCCCGTAGACTTGCACGCGACGACCATCTGCTGGAAGGTGCTCTCTTTTCCTGGCCGGTTCAGTTGGTCCCTCTTGATACTGTCACTCTCCTAAACATGGCCGGTGACAAATTCCTCCCCTCCTCATACTACTGATAGTCAAGCCTCGCGGTTCATCTCATCTTTAATCACCTTCTATACAACTCGGTCCAGCATGGTAGCTTCAGTGCTATCTCCCCATCAGCCCATATGCTGGCCTTCACAATCCAACGCGATATTCAATGATTTGGAGCCATCCCCATCAAAACAGTCGCACGCTGTTTTGTCCCATTCCCTTTCGGCGCCCACTGCCTTCTGTCCCACCCCTATATACTCCACTACAACATCCTTCCCCCTATCTATACCCCAACACGATTTGGCGTAACCACAAGCCCTTGCCTCCCTTCTTAACCTTGGCCACCTTGTCTATTTTCAAAGCCTATTGTCTACATCCGCTTCATCCGCAAACCTAATGGGTGACCATTTGGACAAAAACAAGGTGAACCATTCCTCTTGCTAGATAAGTATGTGTCGAAGACTATCTCCTACCAAGACCAATATTGTTTCAAAAGCTTAGCAACTTCCACGCTCACAGGCCCATTAGCTCAGTTGGTTAGAGCGTCGTGCTAATAACGCGAAGGTCACAGGTTCGAAACCTGTATGGGCCACTTATGTTTTTCGAGACTGAACACTCGCTCACTGCGCATGTTATTGCGGGTATCATGTGCTGGCTGATTTTCCAGTCAACCCTTCAGCACGTGGTCCACCATGGAAGGTGTCTTCGATCGAAGCGTCCTGACTTCGATTGGGAGCCACTGGAAAGTGGGCAATGGGGATTGGGCAAGCTTGTGTCTGTCCTCCACGATTGGTTGAAGGGGTTCATCGTTTTCCGACGGGTTTCGTGTCGCGTGAGCTGGACACTCCGAGCGTGTGCATGCGGTTTGCACCACACACAGCTTGGTTTGGGTGACGGGTAGCTCGAACTGATTTTCATTGGGGGTGAAAACCGACGGGCAGGACTAAAGCTGAGTTACCTTGGTTCGGTAGCATCATTTTCGGCTCTAGATGTTGAATATACTATCATTTCCGTGGTGCCCGCTTCCACACTTGTCTGCCCGAAGCCTTTCCTCTCTCCACCAAGCCTCTCTCGAGGCTCGCGCTTCTCTTCTTTTACAACACACGAACTTCTCCCCCACACTTCTGTTCCTTTCCACCGTTCATAAAACGTCTGCATTTCTTCCTCCAAGCCCTTCGTTACTGGGGCTTTTTCTGGGAGGGACGCCCCTTGGCCCCTTGGGAGATTCGTCTCATCGGGACTTTTTTCCTGCGTCTCTTGCTTCAAGATAGGCCTGGAGCGGGGAAGCGGGCCTGCCTATTTGCTGGTTGCTGCCGGATCAGATTGCTTGACGAGGGTTCTTGCTGCAATTATTACCAGCATTTCTGCAGACGCCTCTGCTTGGTCTGCCGGTAGCTCTCGTGTCGCGAGGATCTTCGGAGCGCCGCAATATCGAGCGTCGCTTATTAGACATTTAAAGGTGTCGTGAGGCTCGGTTAGTCCCGATATCGGCGGCGTCTCGCCCGTCCTCCATCTAGCGAGCTTGGCGGTTCGCATCCATGGATCCATCAAACCATCAGCCTTTTTCGCACTCCAGAACCAGATCCCCTCCGCACATGATCAACGATCCGCCGTCCTTCACCCATCACCACCGCACCCGACCTTCCATCGCGAACCCTAGCTCTCGAACCTCTCAGTCTGGCTCGGCATTCGCAGCTCCGTTCCTCCTCAATGCTCGTAGCGCCATCACAGCTGCCATAGCCGCAGCCGCCGCAGGATCCGGGCGGATCGCGCAATGCCAACCCGCTGTTGCTGCGCCGGCTGCGCCGGCGGCGGCGGCGGCGGTTGCGGCGGCAGCGGCGGCTCCGTCAGCAGCTGCAGCGGCTGCAGCGGCAGCAGTCGCGGCGGAAATCCATCCGTCCGTTCACGAGCCGCCGCCGTCGTCGACGATCGGATTCGCGGAGGAGCTCGTTCCGCCCGTGCCTCCCGCCGGAGGTCCCGGCGCGGGGGAAGGCGGAGCCGGCGCAGCGGAGAAAGTGGAGCCGCGATTGACGGTGGCGTCGATCACGAAATCGCTGATCGCCGGAGGCGTCGCAGGAGGAGTGTGAGTCTTCGCTAAGACAATATCGATATATCCGCGCGGTGGTAGCCAGTTTCGCCCATAGCTCATCAATAGGGGCGTCGCCGGAGGTGTGCAAGTTGGTAACCAGATGGCAGTGGATCTAGTGTAACTGATTTTCTTACATGATTACCGCCTTGAAAAAGTGGTTGTTGAGGCGCCGTAAGAGGAGTGGCAGTTAGCGATGCGGTAACCATCAGCCACGAAGACTAGGCGAGGCGCACTTTCTCGCAACATGGCCGTGTTTCTTACTACCTGCAACCCGTCGCTACAAGGGTTTTTGACATTCTTCCGGGGTTTAGCCAGGCTTGAACTTATATGCTAAACCCTGTATCCCCCCCACACCCGTCCCCCCCCTCTCCTCATCATTCCCCATTCTCCCTCCCTGGTTGTGGTATGGATTGGCATTGCATGGCGTGGCACGACGTGGCATTGCTGGCATGGATGCAGGTCGAGGTCGGCAGTGGCGCCCCTTGAGCGAATGAAGATCCTGCTGCAGGTATGTTGGCCATGGGTGGTGGTTCTATAGTGTTGTCGTGGCTGCAGGGTTGGCGGTGGCGGTGCCAATATGGCTTATTGGGCACTGATAGCTGATGCAGATTACATGATTGATGAGATGGCTAAAATGACACCAGGGATCTGTTCTGCCCCATTTACCTACCCTACCTAGACCCCCCCTCCCCTCTTCCAGACATGCTCTCCCCTCGCTCAATTCCTCCCTCCCTTTCTCAACACCACAGGTGCAGAGCGCGCAGCACGCACAGTACAGCGGAACGTGGCAGGGACTGAAGACCATCTGGCGGGAGGAGGGCATCAATCCGAGGGCTGTTCAGCAGCAGCCATATCAACATGTATTCCCCGATGCGCCCCTCCTCTCTACACCACAGGTTCAGAACGCGCAGCACGCACACTACAGCGGCACATGGCAGGGGCTGAAGACCATCTGGCGGGAGGAGGGCATCGGAAGGCCGGTCTGTCGTGCCACTCAGTCTTAAGCCTCCCTCTCCAATTGACTTTTGAGTCGACTCAAAAGGCCGGTCTGTCCTGCCACTCAGACTTAAGCCTCCCTCTCCAATTCCTCAACTCTCCTCTCTCTTCCCAATTCATCTCTCCAGGTGCAGAACGCGCAGCACGCACACTACAGTGGCACGTGGCAGGGGCTCAAGACCATCTGGCGGGAGGAGGGCATCCGAGGGCTCTTCCGCGGCAACGGCACCAACTGCGCTCGCATTGTGCCCAACTCCGCCGTCAAGTTCTTTGCTTATGAGGAGGCCGCACAGTGAGTCGTTAGTTTGGGATTCATGTCCATATTCTAAGGTAAAAGTGACACCGCCAGCTGTGGCAATGTCACCAACTGTGCTCGCATCGTGCCCAACTCTGCTGTCAAGTTCTTTGCTTATGAGGAGGCCGCTCAGTGAGTTAATAGAAACGGTTGTCAGTGAGGTGCCTAGGGCACTTGTCTCCCTTATGAAGCGGCATTGACACCACCAGTTGTTTAGTGAGGAAGCAGCCTAGTGGCTGGCTCCTTCTTCGAAGTATGCCCTTCCTATGCTTAGTATTTTTTTTCTCTATGATTGTGAAAAAATAGAATGAAAAAAGCATGTTTTTTACCACATTTCTCTCTTCCCCCTTTTACTCCTTCCAACCCATCCTCTCTCTTCACCCCACCCCCCAGTGGTCTTCTCTGGTTGGCCCAGCAGCAGTCTAACGATCCCAGTAAGTGCCTCGACATTTTTCACTGCTCTGCCTCTGCCTCTGCCTCTGCCTCTCCCTCTGCCTCTGCCTCTCTCTCTGCTTCTGCCTCTCCCTCTGCCTCTGCCTCTCTCTCTGCTTCTGCCTCTCCCTCTGCCTCTGCCTCTCTCTCTGCTTCTCCCTCTCCCTCTGCCTCTGCCTCTCTCTCTGCTTCTGCCCCTGCCACTGTAGTTTGAGGCAAGGTACTACTAGGTTTGTTTTGCATGTTACCCCATCTCGTCCTCCCCTTCCCCCGTCCCTCCCCCCTTCCCCCTCACCCCTCCCTATCCTTTCAGACCTGGAGCTCACACGTGTGCTGCAGAGCGGCTGGGAGCAGTCCTGTGCGGTGCGCATAAGGCCATGAATGCACCCCCAATCAACCCCGCAACCCAACCCCCCCACCCGCCCCATTCCTCTCCCTTCAGACCTTGAGCTGACACCAGTGCTGCGGCTGGGAGCAGGGGCGACGGCAGGCATCATTGCCATGTCCGCCACATACCCCATGGACATGGTTCGAGGGCGCCTCACCGTGCAGGTGGGATGGGTTGGATGCTTCTGTCATGTGTGGCCATGTGCGGGCTTGTTGCATCATCGCCATGTCTGCCACATACCCCATGGACATGGTCCGAGGGCGCCTCACCGTGCAGGTGGGTGGGGCAGGGGTGATAGGTGGGTAAGCCGCAAGGCCCTTGACTGTGCGATGGCAGGCATCATTGCCATGTCTGCCACATACCCCATGGACATGGTTCGAGGGCGCCTCACTGTGCAGGTGGGATGGGTTGGATGCTTCTGTCATGTGTGGCCATGTGCGGGCTTGTTGCATCATCGCCATGTCTGCCACATACCCCATGGACATGGTTCGAGGGCGCCTCACCGTGCAGGTGGGATGGGTTGGATTCTTCTGTCATGTGTGGCCATGTGCGGGCTTGTTGCATCATCGCCATGTCTGCCACATACCCCATGGACATGGTTCGAGGGCGCCTCACCGTGCAGGTCGGTGATGGGTATGGTGGGTGGGATGGACAAGTGCGGTGATTCTGTGAATGCGTATGAGTTTGTAGACAGGCATCATCGCCATGCCAGCCACATACTCCGTGGCGTGGCATGATACAGGTGCGGTGCCCCTCACTTCGCAGGTGCGCCATGTGGCGTGGCATGGCATGGCATGACATGGCTTGAGATGGGATGACATGACATGGCACGGCATGGCATGGTTGTCTACGGACCTTGTCCCCTTCTGCCCTTCTCACATCTTCTCTGCGCATGCTCCCACCATCAGCTTACCACCACTAGGCCATGCGCCACCATGCCATGTGCACCAACCATCCTTCTCACCCCTTCCATCCTCTCATGACAATCACATTGCTTCTCCCCTTTCCCGCCTCCCGTGCCCAACCCCGCCTGCCCATCTACCTTACCCACCCACCAGTCCGGCAGGAAGGGGGAGCAGCGCTACAAGGGCATGCGTCATGCAGCGGTGACTATAGTGAAGGAGGAGGGCGTTCGCGCCCTCTATAGGGGCTGGTTGCCGTCCGTCATCGGTGTGGTGAGTGACGGTTCTGCCATAGTTAGTTAGTGGATGTGACTATAGTGGAGGAGGAGGGCGTGCGCGCCCTGTATAAGGGCTGACTGCCTTCTATTAATGGCGTAGTGAGTGGTTCCTGTCATGGTTGATTGCAGTGAAAAATGTTCTGGTAACTGATTGTTTCGACCAGCGTCTACAGTGGAAAGATATCCACTCTTTGCGGGATATCATATCCACTCTTTGCGGGATATCATATCCACTCTTTGCGGGATATCATATCCACTCTTTGCGGGATATCATATCCACTCTTTGCGGGATATCATATCCACTCTTTGCGGGATATCATATCCACTCTTTGCGGGATATCATATCCACTCTTTGCGGGATATCATATCCACTCTTTTCGGGATATCATATCCACTCTTTGCGGGATATCATATCCACTCTTTGCGGGATATCATATCCACTCTTTGCGGGATATCATATCCACTCTTTGCAGGATATCATATCCACTCTTTGCGGGATATCATATCCACTCTTTGCGGGATATCATATCCACTCTTTGCGGGATATCATATCCACTCTTTGCGGGATATCATATCCACTCTTTGCGGGATATCATATCCACTCTTTGCGGGATATCATATCCACTCTTTGCGGGATATCATATCCACTCTTTGCGGGATATCATATCCACTCTTTGCGGGATATCATATCCACTCTTTGCGGGATATCATATCCACTCTTTGCAGGATATCATATCCACTCTTTGCGGGATATCATATCCACTCTTTGCGGGATATCATATCCACTCTTTGCGGGATATCATATCCACTCTTTGCGGGATATCATATCCACTCTTTGCGGGATATCATATCCACTCTTTGCGGGATATCATATCCACTCTTTGCGGGATATCATATCCACTCTTTGCGGGATATCATATCCACTCTTTGCGGGATATCATATCCACTCTTTGCGGGATATCATATCCACTCTTTGCGGGATATCATATCCACCTCTTTGCGGGATATCATATCCACTCTTTGCGGGATATCATATCCACTCTTTGCGGGATATCATATCCACTCTTTGCGGGATATCATATCCACTCTTTGCGGGATATCATATCCACTCTTTGCGGGATATCATATCCACTCTTTGCGGGATATCATATCCACTCTTTGCGGGATATCATATCCACTCCCGCGCTCTTCCTTCCCCTCATTCCGCATCCCATCCCTTTTCCTGTATTCCTTCTGCCCCATTCCCCATTGCTCCCCCATGAATCAGGTCCCCTACGTGGGGCTCAACTTTGCAGTTTACGAAACCCTCAAGGACCAGCTGGGAAGAATGTACGCGGCACAGCACCCCCGACAACCCCGAGATCGGGGAGCTGTCAGTCCTCACAAAACTCGCGTGCGGGGCTGTGGCGGGCACTCTGGGGCAGACAGTCGCCTACCCCCTGGATGTGATTCGAAGGAGGCTGCAGATGGTGGGTTGGCGGGACGCGGCGAGTGTGGTGAGGGCGGATGGTACGGTGGCTGCGGCGCCGCAGTACACGGGCATGGTGGATGCTTTCCGGAAGACCGTGCAGATGGAGGGGGTGCGGGCGCTCTACAAGGGACTCGTGCCCAATTCTGTCAAGGTGAGATTGGCTCTTGCTGGTTCGGAGGGAATCCGAGTGAATCTGAGGGCAAGCAGGGAAGGCAGTGCACCGCAGGTAAGCAGGAAACAGGGAGTGCAGTGGGTGTGGTGAGGGCGGATGGTACGGTGGCAGCGGCACCGCAGTACACGGGCATGGTGGATGCTTTCAGGAAGATTGTGCAGATGGAAGGGGGTAAAGGCGCTTTACAAGGGACTCGTTCCCAACTCTGTCAAGGTGAGATTTCACACTCTGTGTCGAAGGGTGTGAAGGTGAAGCTGTTTTGAGCCGGTTTAGTTCCTGTGCGCTGAGCTGAGAGGAAGCGCGATGGAAATCTGAAGTGAACATAAGGGCAAGCAGGGAGCAGGCAGGGCACTGCAGTGGGTGTGGTGAGGGTGGACGGCACGGTGGCAGCGGCACCGCAGTACACGGGCATGGTGGATGCTTTCCGGAAGACCGTGCAGATGGAGGGTGTGCGGGCGCTAAGGGGCTCGTGCCCAACTCTGTCAAGGTGAGAGAGACTCGCTTGTTCTAGTTGGGTTTCTGTCGAATTTGCTGAATTCTGCCGAGGTGAGACTGGGTTGTGTGTTGATGCAGCCGCACACGTTGGTGTGTTGGTGTTTGTTTTGAGACGTCTCAAAACTACACTTGAAACACACAGCCGCACACGGTGTGCTGGTGTTTGTTTTGAGACGTCTCAAAACTACACTTCAAGCACACAGCCGCACACATTGGTGTGTTGGTGCTTGTTTTGAGACGTCTCAAAACCACACTTCAAACACACAGCCGCACACGTTGGTGTGTTCATGTTTGTTTTGAGACGTCTCAAAACCACACTTCAAACACACAGCCGCACACGTTGGTGTGCTGGTGTTTGTGTATTGTTCCCTGCCCTGCCTCCCCCCCTCCCCCCCTCTTCCCCTCTCCCGCTCCCCCCCATTCCCCGTCGCACCCCCACGGCCTCTGTATGAGACACGATGCGGAGCCATCAGCCATCAGCCATCAGCCGCTGTTCCCCGTCGCTGTCGCTGTTGTCGGCAGAGTGAGAAGCCCGCCTTTCTAAGTGCTTTTGAGTCGACTCAAAAGCATGTTTATCGTGTTTTTCTGCCCCTCTGTTCCTGTGTATCACAACAGGTGGTACCTTGTATGGCCATTTCTTCTGTGACGTATGAAAGCATGAGGGACCTGCTCATAGTGCGTCCATCTTTCGAAACTCGTGTTTCTGTTCCCCTGTGGCCCCATTTGTCGCGCCAGGTGGTGCCATCCATTGCCATTGCGTTTGTCACGTACGAGGTCATGAGAGATCTTCTCCACGTGGAAATCCGCATCTCTGACTGACACGGCACGGCACGGCAGCCGATTTAACGCCACCACCAGCCGGCATTTCCTCCCGCTCGAATCTCTGTACCAGCTTTGACTATTTCAGTGCAAGTGTGGATCTTTGTCGGTGGACATACGCATCCCGCTGTTGATAACTTCAATGGGGTGTGAGGGATGACACTACTGTAGGCCTAGGTAGAAGTGCAATAATCGGCAATAACAAACCTTGAACAAGGTTTGTTCATTATAAGAGCTATGGGACAGTGTTAAGAGTACTATCGAAGACAAGCGAGCAAGCTTATGGGGGTAAAGGATAACAGTGTGTAAGCGAATGCACGAGCAAACACTACACAGCAAAAAGCATCAGTGGTATGGTGCAAAGTTAAGCTAGGATATGCAATGTGACAGCGAGGCTCAGGGTATAGGCACCATCTGCAGGCTCAGCCTTATACAGCGGAGCAAGCTTTTGGTGAAGGTATAGGTGACTTATATGAGTCGACTCAAAAGTCACCTCAACATTGGCTCGCTCAGCCTCTCAGCCTTATACAGCGGAGCAAGCTTTTGGCGAAAGCATTCGCGCTTGATTCCGTTTTGAGGCGCCTCAAAGCGAGGCTCAGGGTATGGGCACCATCGGCAGGCTCAGCCTTATACAGCGGAGCAAGGTTAGGTGCTTGCATGCGCGCTGGATTCAGTTGGCATGGCGATTCCTCCATGGATGAGGATCTCAATTTGTTGAGAACCTTGCAGATGGATGGAGTTGTGAGACAACTCGAAACTCAAACTTCTATCATGTGGTCCTGTGGCCGAGAAGAGGGTTTCGTTGGGGTAAACAATAGCAGGCAGGGGGTAGCTAGCAGGCAATCCTAAATCAGCTTCCCACAACTGATAGGGGCAATAAACAGATCAGCTATGGCTGATCCAATCGCAGCAGCACAGACGTCATAGCATCAGCTTTATGCAACGTATAGGGGAGGTTCGAGAACAGCTATATACAAAATTGTACAGTGTATGGGTGAATTTCAAGAACAGCTAGATGCAACCAAGTACCTACATGCCATGCTGAATTTCAAACCACCTGCGTTCAAGCTGGCATGTTGTTTTCATGTCACCATGGCTCATGTCTCCATGCTGCCATTCCGCTATGCTGCCATTCCGCTATGCTGCCATTCCGCTATGCTGCCATTCCGCTATGCTGCCATTCTGCTATGCTGCAATTCCGCTACACCACCATGCCACCATGCTCTCATGCCATGCTCTCATGCCACGCTCTCATGCCATGCTCTCATGCCACGCGCTCACACCATCATGCGAGGAACACGGAGGCAGCCTGTGTGTTGAGCCAGAGGCGCAGGTCCTCCCTGTCGACACACAGCCCCTGCAGCGCGCTCGTGCCATGCAGCCTCTCTCCCTTCAGCCCCAGCGCCTGCAGCATTGCCTCCATCGTCCCTTGGAGGTCTGGGCATGGCTCCTGTGGTGGAGCCTCGTCCGCTGCTTGCGACTGAACAAAGAGAGATGGCAGATGGGCAATTGAAAATGGGAGATGGGAGATGAGAGATGGGAGACAAGGGATGGGAGATGGGACATTCGAGATGTATGCTGTGAGGGAAAAGACGTTAAAAAGTCAAGTGCGTATAACACAGCACGTGGCAAGCATTTCCTTGCCTTGCCTTGAACTCTACTGCAGGTAGACCAGCATGTGATCACATAGTTAAGACACAATGACACCATAAGCCACTATGTGCATAGAATGACTTTTGGGACGTCTCAAAAGTCGTAGTTTTTGTCACCACGGCATCATGTGCATGAAATGTCATGCACACGCGTTGCAGCGCAACAACAAAATCCCTGGGCACGTAATGATCTGATCGGTGCGAGCTGCAAGCCCCATCCATTCACAACACAATATGCCATGCCCCACCCACCTGTGCGTGCAATGTGTGATAACTCGATTTTTGAGTCGACTCAAAACTCGGCATGTAATGATCTGATTGGAGCAGCATGCAAGCCCCATTCATTCACAGCAACGGAATGCCATGCCCTACCCACCTGTGCGCGCAATGTTGCTGCTGTGACGGTAACCAGGTTGCTGCTGTGACGGTAACCAGGTTGCGCAGCAATGCGGCATCACAACCAATCAACGAGAAGGCGGGGCGCAGAAGCAACGTTCTGAGGCGCCTCACAAGACACACATCACCCACCTGTCGATACAAGGTTGCCGTGACAATAACCAAGTTCTGCAGCCACGAGGCATCATTACAGCCAGCAGTGGAGGAGGAGGCGAGATGCAGAAGCAGCGAAAGCAGCGCCGCAGCCGCGACAGGGCGAGTGCAGTCGACCACGTAAAGCCTGAGAGGGTGAATTGGCGGGCCAAGGAAGTTCAGGTACTTAACAGTCGGCACAACACCTGAGAGGCGTGAACTAGTGGGTGGAAAGTTGGAATGTACAAGAAGGGGCATAAAGAAATGCCACCAAACAGGTTATGTGTGGAGCTTTGGGGAACTCATGAGAACTCACACGCACCATCAAGCACATGGGAACAGCTATTGTAATGATCTCTCATTGAACTTACGTGAAAGGATCTGCAGTCAAAGCCGGGGGAAAGACGCCCTTAGCTGCTGCCTCTCTGAAGATAGACACTGCTGCTTGTAGCGCTGATAGGCAGGTGAGGGAAAGGGGGGGAGACAGAGCGAGAGAAGGGGATGGATAAGCATATGCGAGCATGGGATCAAGGAAGGGGAGAAAGGCCAGCCCCACGCGGTATCCCAGGGGTCACCCTGACTCATGCTTCGAAGGGCTGCAGTAGCAGAGAGGAACATGAGTCAGGGTGACCCCGGGGACAAAGGCCAGCCCCACGCTTTCTATGAATTGACTGACCCTGTTGCTTGCAGAGCTAGCGACAGAATTGGGAGCAGCGACAGTGAAGGAGGAGAAGGGTAGATGTGAGCATGCGGACACAAGGAAAGCAGTGAAAAATCACATGTTTTCACGTGCGCATGACGGCAGCACTGACAAATCACAGGACTAGACAAACGCAACACACATGTGCCAATCATGTAGGAACAGAAAGAATCTCCCTCATCCCCGCTCCGCGTCATCTAATCTCATGCCAATCTAACCTGGAGTGAACTTGAGCGTTTTCCCCTCCTGCATCGCGTCCCGTATCACGGGATCAGCTCCGTCCGGCCCGAAGCAGGCGTCAAACAGCCGAGTGTAGGTGTCCATTGACGGCTGGTGCGGGTGCTGGTGGAATAGAGGGGGGCCCGGGGAGAGGGAAGGAGCGGGAACGTGGCCGTTTTGAGGCGTCGTAAAGAGGGAAGGTGGGCGTTTAGCCTCCATGCACCGCGTCTCATATGGACGTTCAAATCAATAGGTAAAGGCTTACCTCCATCTCGCCCTTCGTGCTGCCTTGCATCTCATTAAACGTCTCCACAGCCGCCTCCCACTCCCCTGCCCTGCCCTGAGCATTGATGAGCGCGGTATACACCACTGCTGTGACCTCCACTCCGCCATCCTCCATCTCCCTCCTCAACGCGATCGCCCGTGCTGCATCGCCATCCCTGGCACACACTGCCATGAGCCCCTGGTACGTTGCCTCGTCTGGTTCGGGACCCCACCGCTGCATGCCATCGTAGCACTGCCATGCCACAGAAGAAACGGTGATGAAAGTGAAAGGGCAGTGTCTTGCAAGCCGCCTGTGCCCAGTGCTTACATCCAATCGATTGCTGCGAGAGGCAAAAACCAACTGAGATTGATAGGCGAACTTCGCATGGCACCACAGCATTCTCACGACAAGGCTGTCTGTCTGTGTGAGGCTTAAAGGCTTTAAGGAAAATGTGATATAGTTTAGAACACAGACAGCCTTTAATGTAAAGGATCTGCTCCCCAAGCCACCTCCCTATTCCTCCTCCCTCCTCTTCCTTGTGCTCACCCCGTAAGCCACGAAGGCAGGGGCGGAGGGCACGGCAGCCACGGCGTGGATGAGCTTGTTCCAAAAAGGCGGGTCCAAGTCGCATGCAAACCCACTCGCTGACATCAGCTTGTACGCTCGCAACGCCCCCTCAGGATCCCCTGCCTGGAGAAAGTGGGGGAGAGATGGTGGTGAAAGAGTTATATGACATTCTTTTGTGAACTAAAGTCTAGTTTAATGATTTTTAAGTCGAGATAGTGCTTAGCTGGCAAACGGCCGGCTGGAAACAGCACGTGAAGGCTGGCTGCAATGACCAGTTGAGTGTACATGCATCAAGACTGCCTTTTAGGTGTCTTTTGAATGCATACACTTCAGACCATACAGTGAAGCAATCATCTGGGCAGGTGAAATAATGCTACAATGAATGCAGATGAATCGCTCCTCAAGGCTTGCTGCAATGGCCAGGTTGAACGTTTCTGCATCGGGACTGCCTTTCTCGATAGCTTCCATCAACAGCTCACGACCCCATGCCGTATCCTCCTGCAGCGAAAGAAATGGATCATGTGGACAAGCATTGCGGAGAATTAGACTAAATGAGCAAGATGGCATTACCAGAGCCACGGTGGGAGGACAGCGAGTCTATTTCTACATTACGCTATACCTGGTAAGGTAAGCGAGTAAAGGGAGCACATCAGTTAACATGCCTTACATCAGTCAACAAGATCGCTTTTGCTTGCATTTCCTTGAGTGACTCCACAACTGCCTCCCACATCCCCGCCTGGCGCTGCATGGCCATGAGCGCACGGAGCACTTCCCCCGTCACCTCCACGTCGCCATCTGCCACCTCCCTCCTCAGCGCAGTCGCCCGTGCTGCATCGCCTTTCTCGATGGCTTCTGTCAGGAGCTCGCAACCCCATGCCTTTTGCTCCTGCGGTGGAAGAGAGTTGAAATGCGGTTGTGAGACAACTACAGGAGCCACGGACGTGGGACGGGACCCCGAACAAAAAAAAAAAAGAAAAAAGAAAAGAAAAAAAAAGCATCGAAAGAAGAAGCGAAAGCCAGAAGCAGCAAAGTCTTGGCTTCAAAAGAAGTCTGGATTAAACATACGCACACAGAAGAAGCATATCGGCTACCAGGCCTCACATCAGTGCACAGGGTCGCCTTGGCTTGCATCTTCTAAAGTTTGTACATGAATGCATGCATGAATGCTTACATCAGTCGAGAGCACAGCCTTTGCTTGCATCTCCTTCAGAGTCTTCACAGCCGCCTCCGACAGCCCTGCCTGGCGCTGCATGGTCAGGAGCGCATGAAGCACTGCTGCTGTCACCTCCACTCCACCATCCTGCATGTCTTTCTTGAGAGCCATCGCCCGTGCTGCATCGCCATCCCTGGCACACACTGCCATGAGCCCCTGGTAGGTTTCCGGGTCTGGCGTGGGACCCCATCTCTTCATGCCCTCGTAGCACTGTTGCGGAAACAAAGACAGTGACGAGGCGAGGAGTAGAGTGAAGGCGAGGAGGTGGTGGAGTAAACTTTAGAGTCGACTCAAAAGTCAACGCGGAATCAAAGACAGTGGCGAGGAGTAGAGTGAAGGCGAGGAGGTGGTGGAGTAGATCAGCAGCAGGTGACGACTAGTAGATCAGCAGCAGGTGACGACTCGTAGATCAGCAGCAGGTGACGACTAGTAGCTCAGCAGCAGGTGACGACTAGTAGATCAGCAGCAGGTGACGACTAGTAGATCAGCAGCAGGTGACGACTAGTATATCAGCAGCAGGTGACGACTAGTAGATCAGCAGCAGGTGACGACTAGTAGATCAGCAGCAGGTGACGACTAGTAGATCAGCAGCAGGTGACGACTAGTAGATCAGCAGCAGGTGACGACTAGTATATCAGCAGCAGGTGACGACTAGTATATCAGCAGCAGGTGACGACTAGTAGATCAGCAGCAGGTGACGACTAGTAGATCAGCAGCAGGTGACGACTAGTAGATCAGCAGCAGGTGACGACTAGTAGATCAGCAGCAGGTGACGACTATATCAGCAGCAGGTCTCACAAACAGACGAGTTATGTAAGGGCTGTGAAGGACGGCAAAGAGTTAGAAAGCAGGATAGGTGGGCAAGGGAAGAGGTAGCCTTGAACCTGAAACGAAGAAAGATAGCGATGGGCAGTAGATGGGCCAATGATTGCTAATGACCGGCACTGGCCCAATGCACTCTACATGTATTACAAAGCACCCTATCAGCCTCACTCACCCCATAGGCCACGTAGGCAGGGGCGGAGGGCACAGCAGCCACGGCAAGGATGAGCTTGTTCCAAAAAGGCGGATCCAAGTCACTCGCCAAGCCATTCGCCGACATCAGCTTGTACGCTCGCAACGCCCCCTCGTGATCCCCTGCCTGGAGAACCAACCAGAGAGGGTTACGGGTTGGGTAAGGCTATAAAGAGGGGGACACACTTATGAGATGTCCCAATGAAAGACTATCAACAACAGCCTTAACCTCGCCTGCAGGTTGATTTCAATCAGCAGGTTAAAGAACTCTGCACCGAAACAAATGCTCACAACAGCCTGCACCAGAGGCTCTGAAGCATTGACTTTGACTCCTCTCAAAAGCTATCAAGCCTGGACAATCTTCACCTCTCACACACCTACAGGTGGATTTCAATGAGCAGGTTCAACTCCTGAGCATCAAACAGCCGTTCTTCACAGCTTTCATCAAGAGCTGCAGCACTCGCTGACTATATCAGTCAGATGTCCCAATAAAAAAAATGCCGACAGGCTTCACCTCGCTCACACTCACCTGCAGGCTGATTCCAATGAGCAGGTTGAAGAGCTCTGCATCCGTTTTTGTGTCGACTCAAAAACAGATTCCAGTGGGCAGGTTGAAGAGCCCTGCGCCTGTTTTTGTGTCGACTCAAAAACAGATTCCAGTGGGCAGGTTGAAGAGCTCTGCGCCTGTTTTTGTGTCGACTCAAAAACAGATTCCAGTGGGCAGGTTGAAGAGCTCTGTATCGGAACAGCCACTATCAGCAGCAGCCATCAAAAGCGGAAGACTTCATTGGCGCATTTGAGGCGCCTAAAAAAAAAACCATTGGCGCTTCAGATGTCTCAGTCAAAAGCCTACCAGTAAACCTTCAACGCACCTGCAGGCTGGTTTCGATGAGGAGGTTGAAGACCTCTGGGTCGACACAGCCACTCTCAGTAGCCTCTGATAGGAGCTGGAGCACTGGAGGAGGCGTGTCTGCCTGCAATGGAACGGGAGGGACGATCCAGGTAGACAGAACTTTTGAGGCCATGAGAAACAACTTGACACTCTCAGGTGGAGGAGGAAAAAAAGGCATGGCACAGTGTGACAGTGTCCCGTCCTTGTTTCGTCCCATCACCCACATCAATAATGTGAGAATGGTGGAGCGGAGCGATAGCCAAGAAATGACTTTTCAGACGTCTCGAAACTCAACCAAAAAGCACACCAGCAACAATTTGCCACTGTTGAGCTTGCCTCGTTTGCAGTGTTAGTAGGGGTAGACGGTGCAATCACGGTCCTCGCAAATTGGGTGAGCTTGCTCCAGAAAACCGGATTCAATTCATGTGCCAAGCCATTTGCTGCCATCAGCTTGTACGCTCGCACCGCCCCCTCGTGATACCCTGCCTGCAGAGGGCACATGGTGTGAGGGAGCGGAGCGGATGTGAGAGGGAAAAGAACAGGCAGTGGACACTCAGTTGCTGCCATCAGCTTGCACGCTCGCACCGTCCCCTCGTGGTCCCCTGCCTGCAGAGGGTGAGGGAGGGGACACACACGCACGCGGCGCGCTCATGAGTGTTTGTGTTTGTCCGTGTGCGGTTCAGGGTGAGGGAGGGGATGAGACGAGTGACAAGTAGAGAAAGACGCACAATGGGAAGCCGGCAAAAGGGAAGAGAGGGAGGAAATGCCTTTTAAAGGAATTCTGCAAGGTTGATTTTGCACCAAAAAAAAAGAAAGAAAGAAAGAAAGAAAGAAAGAAAGAAAGAAAGCAACCTGAAGGAAAAGGAACGTTCTAGTGGCCATTGAGGCGCATAAAGAAGTGTATCAAAAGTTCGTGACACCTCAAAATCTCTACCTTTGAATTTTCCAACACACACACACACCTCTACACTTGCTTCAATGAGAAGATTGAGGGTCTTCGCATTAGGGCGAACTTTCTCAGCAGCTTCCTTCAGGAACTCACGACCCCATGCCGCATCCTCCTGCAGTGAAGGACAAATTTCAAATAAACTGGTGATTTAAAAGGTGGATGAAGTGAAGGAAAGTAGCGTGCGAAAGAGATCGATGAGAGCAAGGAGACTAGATTTATATTAAGATCCAGATAGCCTCGTCCAGCAACGACAGGCGAAAGCACCTCCTGCAACTTCCCTCAGGGCTGAGAAGAGTACTCACAAGCATGCAGCAACTACCTCTAACAAACTAGCAGCATATGGCATACACACACACATCAACCGGTGCTCACATCGGTTGAGAGCACCGCCTTGGTTTGCATCTCTTTGAAGGTTTCCACAGCGGCCTCCCACATCCCCGCTTTGCGTTGCATGGCCATGAGCGCACGGAGCACTTCTCCCGTCACCTCCACTCCGCCATCCTCCATCTCCCTCCTCAGTGCCATCGCCCATGCTGCATCGCCATCCCTGGCACACACTGCCATGAGCCCCACGTACGTGTCTAGGTCCGGCTAGGGTCCCCATGTTTGCAATGCATCATAACACTGTGGGACAGAATGGGAGGGGAGGCGGAGGAGGAGTAGACTCAGAACAGTGGGGAAAGGTACGGACCTTCAGGTTGATGAGAAGGATGGATCTAAGAGGGAGAAAAGACAATTCAGTGACATTTTCGTGGGTTCAGTTGGTCCATCTCCCGGAAACATACCAAGCTGGCATATGGCAGTTCCGAAGACCGAAGACAAAGTTGTGTTCCAGTATTGCCTGGAAACAGAAGGCTAGTTTTGCCTTCTAGAAAAGTAGATACAAATAAGTAAGCAACGGAACGGCCACAATGTATACGAGAATCAAGCCCTCGTGCTCTGCTCACCCCGTAGGCCACGTAGGCAGGGGCGGAGGGCACGGCAGCCACGGCATGGATGAGCTTGTTCCAAAGCTCTGGCTCCAAGTCGCGTGCAAACCCACTCGCTGACATCAGCTTGTATGCTTGCAACGCCCCCTCGTGATCCCCTGCCTGGCGAGGGAAGTGCGGTAACGGAGGGGGGACACAAGTGGGGAAAACTTTAGCACGACACTCTTTGGCCGTGCAGTGAGGTGTCTTTTGAGGCGCCTCAAAAGACACCTAACTTAGCAAGACACTCTTTGGCCGTGCCTTCCTGACGGTTTCCAATATAATGAAAAACAGCACCTTGAGATTGACGCCAATGAGGATGTTGAATGTTTCGGCATCGGGTCGGGCATTCTTGTCTGCTTCCAGCCCGTGATAGAGGCGCCACGCCATTTCAAGTTGAACCTGAACCTGCTCAGTTGAAGTTTGCTCAGCTTGAACCTGCCAGAATAAGAAGATGGGTTACAAGAAGAGAACAGTCAGCGAGATTTAGAGTTTTAGATGGTCGATGGTCGACGGGGCGGGGCAGGGCAGGGCAGGGCAGGGCAGGGCAGGGCAGGGCAGGGCAGGGCAGGGCAGGGTAGGGCAGGGCAGGCCGGAAAAGCCTTGTTACACCACCAAATGCCTAGAAATTGCCTTGCCATGGCAGATATTGTATAACATCACTCAATCCATGCACCTTAATTTTAGATGATACATACATCAGCTCTTCAAGGAGGAGAAAAAAAGGGGGCCGGGGGATTGGAGGAGGAACATAGGAAGGGAAGGATTGGGATAAGGGAGCGAGGGAAGGAGGGAGGGGGACGAGTGAAGAGGTGGGAGATGTGTGTCGACTCAGATCAAGGTGTGAAAACTAGAACATCTATCAACATAAAGGTTTTGGCACATTCATCCCGAACCGAAGGGAGTCGGCAGAGGAGAGGGAGAAGAGGAAAGGGAAGGAGACGGCATCATGTGAGCCAACTCACATTCGCTTGTGAATCACTAGCAGCACACAGATCAATGAATTTGTTGTAATAGAGAGTGGTGCTGGAAAGAAAATCTTCCTCTTCATCCTCGTGATTCTCTTGATCCTCCCAACCAGCCGAGTCCAGTAAGATCTACGCACGGGAGCCAAGGGACGGAAAGAAGGAATGAAATAGGAACGCATATGGTATTCGACTCACAAGTCACCTCGGTTGGCACATGAGATGAGATAACAGGTAACTGGAGCATGGAGCATCAACGCACACAAGGTATCTACAACATTTTGGAGTTACTACAATTGAAATAAAAACTATGCATGGTTACAAACCTTTTGACAACAACTCGCATCGTCCCTGTAGTACCTGCTTTGGCAGGGTTTATATTCCCTGCTAGGCAATCCGAGAGGCGCAGCAGCCCATTAGAGTCAACATCTTGGCTGCAAGCCAAAAGGTCAGAGATTTCTTCTACCTTCTAAGTCTTCGTATCTCACTCAGTCCCTGTTCGATGTACGAGGACTGAGTGAGATACGAACGGGGGACTGAGTGAGATACGAACGGGGACTGAGTGAGATACGAACGGGGACTGAGTGAGATACGAACGGGGACTGAGTGAGATACGAACGGGGACTGAGTGAGATACGAACGGGGACTGAGTGAGATACGAACGGGGAATGAGTGAGATACGAACGGGGACTGAGTGAGATACGAACGGGGACTGAGTGAGATACGAATGGGGACTGAGTGAGATACGAACGTGGACTGAGTGAGATACGAATGGGGACTGAGTGAGATACGAACGGGGACTGAGTGAGATACGAATGGGGACTGAGTGAGATACGAACGGGGACTGAGTGAGATACGAACGGGGACTGAGTGAGATACGAACGGGACTGAGTGAGATACGAACGGGGACTGAGTGAGATACGAACGGGGACTGAGTGAGATACGAACGGGGACTGAGTGAGATACGAATGGGGACTGAGTGAGATACGAACGGGGACTGAGTGAGATACTAACGGGGACTGAGTGAGATACGAATGGGGACTGAGTGAGATACGAACGGGGACTGAGTGAGATACGAATGGGGACTGAGTGAGATACGAACGGGGACTGAGTGAGATACGAACGGGGACTGAGTGAGATACGAACGGGGACTGAGTGAGATACGAACGGGGACTGAGTGAGATACGAACGGGGACTGAGTGAGATACGACGGGGACTGAGTGAGATACGAACGGGGACTGAGTGAGATACGAACGGGGACTGAGTGAGATACGAACGGGGACTGAGTGAGATACGAACGGGACTGAGTGAGATACGAATGGGGACTGAGTGAGATACGAACGGGGACTGAGTGAGATACGAACGGGGACTGAGTGAGATACGAACGGGGACTGAGTGAGATACGAACGGGGACTGAGTGAGATACGAACGGGGACTGAGTGAGATACGAACGGGGACTGAGTGAGATACGAATGGGGACTGAGTGAGATACGAACGGGGACTGAGTGAGATACGAATGGGGACTGAGTGAGCGTGCAATGATATCTTCCGCGATGTGCCCGTTCGCAGTACCCGCTTAATGGAAATGATATCTCCCGCGAAGCAAGCCGATAAGCACAGACACCCAATGGTGGTAAAGTCAGGCTGCAGTCCTTCCTTCAGCATCAGTGCATACAGCTCCATAGACTTGTTGTGATCCACTTGCGTGGAAATAGCAAGGAGGAAATTGAGGATGACTGTGCTTGCTGGCATTCCCTCGGCCCTCCTCCTGTGATAAAACTGCAGTGCGTTATTGAGGCTGTGTGATGGGAATTCATGTGTTTGAGGAGAGGGAAAAGCAGGGGTTGAGGGGAGGAGGAGGGGGGGGAAGAGGGGAAGAGAAGGAAGGGGGGGGGGGGAGGAGGAAGGGAGGAGGAAAGAAAGATAGGAGAGAGGAGTTGGGAAAGGACGTGGCAAGGACACCCCTGTGTCAGGGTAGAAGAAAGGATGAGGCGACACCAGAAACAACAGCTGCAGCAGCGGGCTCACAGAACCAAACCAGCGGGCTCACAGAACCAAACCAGCGGGCTCACAGAACCAAACCAGCGGGCTCACAGAACCAAACCAGCGGGCTCACAGAACCAAACCAGCGGGCTCACAGAACCAAACCAGCGGGCTCACAGAACCAAACCAGCGGGCTCACAGAACCAAACCAGCGGGCTCACAGAACCAAACCAGCGGGCTCACAGAACCAACCAGCGGGCTCACCGAACCAAACCAGCGGGCTCACCGAACCAAACCAGCGGGCTCACCGAACCAAACCAGCGGGCTCACCGAACCAAACCAGCGGGCTCACCGAACCAAACCAGCGGGCTCACCGAACCAAACCAGCGGGCTCACCGAACCAAATCAGCAGGCTCGCAGAACCAAACCAGCGGGCTCACCAAACCAAACCAGCGGGCTTACCAAACCAAACCAGCGGGCTCACCAAACCAGCGCACTGTCTGCCTCTGCTGCTGGATCAAATGATTCGATGAGGTTGTTCAGCATATCCAAAAAGTGCTTCAAACTCAGAAGCTGCTCTAGAACCTGGCGGACGCACACATGCACGCAGGACAAACAAACGTTGTGAGGGGGGGGGAGGGGGGACGGCATTTGACAAGTAGAGCTTGGAACGTTTGAAAGCACGTCAGACTCGATAAGGCTGCCATTGGCTTATCCAGATTGACTTTGCTCTTAGAAGCTGCTCTACCACCTGGTGGGTGAACACATGCACGCACGCAGGACAAACAAACGTTGTGAGGGTTGGTGGGGTTGGGAAGGGTGGGGCGGGGGGCATTTGACAACTACAACCTGGACAGACGTTGCTGGGGGCATGTCATGTGAAACAGGTATAGACATGCTATGTGTCCTCCCTCCTCACTCGTTTGACATTTGAATAAACCTCCACAAGTTTCGATTTCTACTCACCATCCGTTCCACCTACACTCCCACTCCCTTCCCCTCCCCTCCTATCCTCCCTCTCGAATGAGCTAGGTGACTTTAAAGTCGACTCAAAATACACTCCCTCTCCCTTAGCCCCCCCACCCCCCTCTCCTCCCCTCCTTCCTCTCGAATGAGCTAGGTTGGAATAGCATCGACGAGAACACATGTGACGCTTGAAAAGCTACTTGTGAATGGGAATAGCAGAAAACAAATTTGAAGAGCCGCAGCTACCACCAACACGGACACACACATATAATGATATGTTTATACATGAATACATATACATAGAATGCATACATATAGAAATACATATCTATAATACACATATGGAATATCTATATACTCTCCTCACCTCTTCACAAAATTTAGGCCAGTGGCAGCTGAGAGAAGGCTTGTGTTACTCCTGAGGTGAGATCTGGATTTGACACAAGAATAGCCCACCCACTCACCTCTTGATCGACTTTCTGCCCCGGTGTCCCCTGCAGCGATGATGTCGATCGTGCGTCTGTGATTCTGGTAGGTTGATTTTGGACGACCCGGGGGAGAGGAGAGAAGGAAGGGAGTAGGCGGGGGAGGGAAGTGGGGGAGGAGGAAAGGGAAGGAGGTGGGGTGGTGAAGGGGGACGAAGGAGGAGGAGGCGACTAATATAAAGACTGGACAGAGGGCCAATGGGACGAACGAAAGGGCAACACAGAGAGAGCGTTAGTGAGTTAATTGGGCACAACAATTGAGGTGAGTAATGAATGCGTCCATGCACAGCGCTGGTTGGGCAACGCAAAAAGAAAACACCAACTGGTTACTAATACCACCCATCAAGGCCACCCACCCACCCCGTCCCACCTGTTGTCAAGAGGGCGGGAGGTTTGAAAGTTCTCCTCCAGTGATAGGCCTGCAAACAGCTCCTCCAACTGATCCCTCATCTTCAACAGCTCCTTGAGCACCTGGTGACCAGGAGGGAGGGATGCAGGCAGGCAGGGACGCGGGGAGGAGGAGAGATTTCTAGGGACGCGGGGATGAGGCATGGGGCAGTTTTCTAGGCGCCTCAAGGATTGCTTCATCACTGGCAGGAGGGAGGTGTGAGAGTGGGAGTGTGGTCCGCGTATGAGAGGCCTGCAAAGGACGTCTCCAGCTCATCCCTCAGCTTCAAAAGGATCGTTTTATGCCTGGTGGCCAGCAGGGGTGCAGGCGGAGGAGGAAAGATATCCAGTTCATTTTAGCAGGCGCATAAAAAATAGCCTTACTCACCTCATCACTGGTGTGGGAGAGGGATGCAGGAGGAAAGAACGGCTTGGGACGGCATGGGATGAGAGTGTTCTGAAAGCTCTGGAAACACTAGTCCTTGAATGCCTGGAGGAGAGAGAGATTAGAAGGCATAAAGAGAAAACAATCTGCAAAAAAAATGCCAACCTCCTTCCACCACTCACTCTCCGGTCTCTTTTCCATTTCACTTGCCATAGATCACTCACTTCTTCTTTTTTCCGTATTTTCCTCCCCTTCTCCACCATCTGAGAGCCATCATCGCCACCCATTTGCCGTGGTCCTCCTCCAAGCCGTGACCCCTCCCCCATGCCCGTCGGGACTGCTGCCTGCTGTGCTGACGAGAACGACGACGATGCGGAAGTGGCGCTGATTGGTTGGATGAAATCCAGAGGGATGAAAGGGAGTTCAGCGTTTGAAGCGATGTGGGGGTTGATGGCGCGGGGGTTAGTAGCTGAAGATGAAAGGATGTTCCGAAGGACATGGTCACCAAGACGGTGGAATGCGATAGTTGAAGTTGAATTGACCTTTCAGACCTTAAGGGACAAAACACTAACGATTGGGAAAGATCTGGAGTTAATTTCAGGCGAGCGTAGGGGGAGGTCAGGAGGGGAAGTTTAGATCCATTGAAGACGCCTTCTTGGAAAAACAAAACAGTGTGAATACCTCAGGTCCTGTCTGAATTGGTGCCTGGGAATGTTCGCAACCACGGTCTTAATAAGCTCTGACGACTTGGAGCCTGACCTGACAATTGCATTCTTAAGGGGTCGCCGAGCAGACCAAGCACCGCGAGGAAAGAAAACGAGGCTGCTAGACATGTGGATGATCGCGTGGAAACGGGAATTAGGGACGGAGCGACAGGTGACCAGAGGGAAATCATTTCCACATGATGTGGAGAGAATGACAATGCGAGGTGAGGCGTACGGGAAGCAGAATGCGAAGAAAGCGAAAAGGAGTGAGGTAATGGGAAGGAGAGGACCAGGACCAGGTTTAACGGAAGAAGCGAATTGGATTAATAATGCGATGGTGCTCGCGAAAACTTTCTAGGTTGTTGGTGTTTCCAGTCATACCTGGTTGTTCTGCTTGGACGACAGGCGGCTCGCGTCACGCGCTGGCGAGACGCGGACACACGTCGACGACTGACTGCGGAACAACAACGCCGCCATGCCGCTGGGATTGTGGAAAACGCAGGCTATGCGAAGCAGACTGGAAGGCAGGTCTTAGAGAGGGAAATGGCTGCACTCTTATTTCTACATAAGCGGTAATCTACAGTGTGGAACCCAAGCTGTGGATGCTCAGGGCGTGTGCAGTGGCCTTCTCCTACGAGAGATGTGTTGATTATGAAGCGACGGATGAAATCTGCGACCTAAATTTTCCCAGTCTTTGGTAAGGCCCAGTTCGGCAGGCATTATTGAAATGGCCTCGGCGGTTGGGCTACAGTGAAATGACCACCCTGGAGCCTTCTTAGATAAGCGCGTGAATGATTATCAAGGCTCGATATAAGCGGATCTACGCTGAGCCTGACAATAATGGATGCCTCCCGAACAGCCCTTTTTGTGCAGGCATTTTCACCCAACGGAAGCTTCCACGAGCCCAGTTTCTCGGGCAAAGTGCCCATTTTTTAATCCGCCGCACCATGCGGCTTCGAGGCCCGCACCATGCGGGGAAAGTGATTCGAAGCATTAAACAGTGTCTGGTCAAATATCTTAGCCAATCACATGATCGCTTGATCCATCTGAGAAACTGCCTACCATCTTCTGCGAAACCAAAATTTCGGTTGGCGCCATCAATCTACACCCAATAAATGCCAGCCGAACAGTCAGCCCGTTTTTTTGAAGGTGCACCCCAGCTACTGTCCGATTTCGAAGCTGTTTCCAAAAAATGCCCATGGGGTATTTTTTGGGGGCCCGTTAAAAAATGCCCATAATGGCCATAATGCCTGCCGAACCGGGCCTAAGTGTCGCCCTCGTTCGTAAACAAGTGGAGATGAAACACGTCCTCCCTGTTGTTCACGCCTCTTCTCGAAACTGATGGACTCAGAAGATCTCGAAAATTGAACACCTGGATTGGCCAGATGCAGCCACGCATGGCTGCCACAAATCCTCGTCCTCCGTCCCAGTTCATTGGGTGTGTCACATTATTACTGGTTATCCTCGTCAGGTGAGGAGTTCGCGCCTAACTATACCCAATCAACAAGCACGAGCCTTGATAGTACAGTCACCAATCACGGAACTGTATCTGCTACTCCTTTGAGTTTGTTCCCAATGCCACGTCATCGGACATTCTATGACTTGAAGGGTGGTTACAACCATTTTTCCTGCCCGCAACGGCCATTCTGAAGACTATTGGAGGAAATGTACCATTTGTTCCGCTGGTGGGTAGCTATATCGGTAGCTGTGTGAGGTGCCATCCAGTGATTTGCTTCTTCGGGAAATATGAGTGATAGGAATCGAGCTTCCCATTCGGATGATGAACTCTCCGATTTTCCGTATTTCTGGACTCACAGAAAAGGGTACTTTCTATCTCGCTACCAGGCATTCAAAAACTTTTCCGTTTTGTGGCCCCCCTCCTCCTCACTTCCCTCTCACACTCCTACTGCTCTTGCCCACTGTTCCATCCATCATTCATTCTCTCTGTCCTCTGTTCTCTGTTTCCGTTCTGAAAATGACCTAGAGCTCTGGAAGTAGTCATTTTGTTTCTAGAACCACCCCGGAGGGCGGACTTGAATGCAGTAATTGGAAGTCTATTAACTTCTTTTTTCGACGTGCAGAATCTCTATTGTTTGTTCCGCGAGAGAATTCATCGCCTTATAGCATTTCACGTCCGTGCCTCACAGCAGCGGTAGCCATGGCGCAGGTTTCTACGGTTCGGAGCGCTCTCCATCCACAACGCAAACATCGCGACCAGACCTTTTCAAACCGCCAATTTCGCTAGACCATCTTCGCGAAAGTTCGCACGGCGATGCGTGCGAGTGCAGGCGAAGCAACAGGACGACCTACCACCATCGGAGATGACCTACCAGAACGCGCTGGACCTGCTGGGGGTGAGGGAGGGAGCGACGTTCGACGACATCCTGCGAGCGAAGAAGCGAATTACAGACCCAGGCACCGCCGATCAGGAGCTTCTTCTGAGGGTAAGCACTGGTTCTTTTGTAACGCTGTTTTTACAGAGCGCTGATACTCCCGGTAAGAGGTCTCATTTGCAGGTTGAGTCGACTCAAATCCATAGCGCTATCAATGCAAAGCGCGAAAACATCAGGTAAGAGGTTTTTTTCGCTGGGAGGAATTGCGACGTGTTGGACAATCAATTGAGTATTTTTCAACCAGGTAATATTCCCTCTCGTGAGACGGAAATTGAGGACTTTCGGGATCAGATTGAGGAGCATCGCTCGTGACTAAAGAGATGTTCCAGTAGTCTTTTGTGAAACGGTCATGTCAAAACGGTCATGTTGAACGATTGGAGAGGTAAGACAAACTTGGTAACCGCGGCTTTGTTGGTTATTGCACACTATACTGTTTAATGAACGGTTGTTGATACGATCCAAACATGGCTTCAACATGTGGCAATTCGCGTGGTACCGTAGGTGAAACGACGACTCTCTTCATTGTTGTTGCCTTTCCCTTTCTCTTCCAACCCCCCGCAGGTCGAAGCAGCGTGCGACATTCTCCTTATGCAGTCCCTCTCCCGGCGCCGTTCCTGCGAGGTAGCAGACAATTGCGTGCGATTCTTTCTCATTTTATTTCCTTCATTCTCTGATTCCCCTCCTACCCCCCGCAGGTCGAAGCAGCGTACGACATTCTCCTCATGCAGTCCCTCTCTCGGCGCCGCTCCGGCGAGGTCGTCGACAGCAGCGTGCGCTTCGCGGACGTGCAGAAGCCCCGCCCGCCCGCCCCGCCTTCCTGGCTGCAAAAGGCCCTCAAATCCTCGGCCGGTCGCCGTCACCACGCCCAACACCAGCACCAGCAGCGGCAGCCAGGCGCTCGCCGTGCAAATCCGCGGTCTTCGCGTCGCTGCTCATCTGGACGTACGCCTCGGGATTGTCGTCGGGGTCGGATCTGGGCGGGTCGTTGTACGGGCCCGCGGCGACGGGAGGGGATGTGCCGGGGCTGCAGCTGGCGCTGGCGTTTGGATGGGCGCTGTACTCGCTGCGGAAGGAAGGCGTTGGATGGGTGAGTGGGGGTCAAGAGGTGTTTGCGTGCATGGCGGGTGAAAGGTGAAGTGAGTGCGTATGGCAAGGTTTGTGCGTGGGTGGACGAGTGTGAACGAAGACCAAATTGTGGCGTCTAGAAGTTTGTCATGCTACATAGAGGAATAATGGCGTGGGAATTGGTGAGTGTTAGAGCATGAGTGATTGTCCCAGACCTACCTTGGGATCGTCCCTGGTTTCAGAAGAGCTGGGGGATCATGGTCGTGGGAATGTACTGGCGTGGCAAGTATCGTACCGACGGTTTACACCCGAGTATCAAAGTAGTGTGGTGTAATTGCTGTGAGATTGATGAGTGGGTGAGTGGATATGGGGGCAAACACGCATTCTCTCTCTCTTCCTCTCTCCCCCCCCATCTATCTCCTCTCCTCCCAACCGCCCTCTCCCTTCCACACTCTCTCTCCCCCCACCACTCTCTCCGGCATCAGGGTTGGTAGCATCAGAATTGGCAGCGTCAGTAGAGAAGTTATTGCTGGGAGCAGTGGAGGAGTACTTTATGGCACTTGGATCCTGAAAGGTCCATCCGCTCTCTCTTTCTCTGGCTCTCTCTCTCTCTTTCTGTGGCTCTCTCTCTCTCTTTCTCGTGGCTCTCTCTCTCTCTCTCTTTCTCTGGCTCTCTCTCTCTCTCTTTCTCTGGCTGCCCTCTCTCTCTTCTCTGGCTCTCTCTCTCTTTCTCTGGCTCTCTCTCCCTTACTCTCCCACTGCTCACAGGCAAGGCACTGGGGCTGTCAACAGGGGGGCTCGTGCTGGGAGCAGTGGTGGACAGTCTGGTGTATCCTGTTGGCAGTTCAACATCTCTCCCCTGCTCGACGTGTCCTTAAGTCCCACTCTTTCTCGCTCTCTCATCTCTCTCTCTCTCTCTCTCTCGTCTCTCTCTCTCTCTCTCTCTCTCTCTCTCGGCTCTATTTGTTCCCCTCAACCATTGGCAGGCAAGGCAGCAGGGTTGTCGCAGGGGGGGGCTTGTGCTGGGAGCAGTGGTGGGCAGTCTGGTACAGCCTGGTTGCGAGTCGACATCTTTCCCCTGCCGGGCATCGGCTCCCCTCCGTCCTCATTAGTGAATTCTCCATTATCAACCTCTGGCTCGCCGCTGTCTTCCTGCGCTGATCTCCCTCAAGTGAAATAACTTCCCAGTGGCAGCTGAAGGCGCCCTTTCCTTTGGGCCCTTGCTGCTGTCGTGGTTATACAGGAAAATCGTGCTGGTTACTTGTGTGCATGAAGAAGCTGGCCTTATGCCAGCTGGTGTAGCGGTGCCCAGTTAGGCAGATATAGATGTGTGCTTGTTTTTGGTAAGTGTGTGCTAGTTTATGCCTCAGTGTGTACAGATACTGCATGGCGATGCTAGGAAAAAACCCTCCCCTTTGCTGCCGAACCATGTTGTGTGTGGGATGGGAGTGTTTATTATGGAAGCTCCATTGTGGAGCCATCTTGGTGTGTGAACATGTTCCCTTGTGACAGGCTCCACTATGCAGCATATAGAGTAGCCTCTCTTGAATGGCACGAAATGCTTTAGCTGCCTCGCTAATCAACCATACGGTACGCGTACACCTCTACAGCCAGGTGTGACCCATTGCCATGCTCTTAGTGAGTGCATGAGATTCTTCCTCACCAGTGTTGGGCTGAGAAGCCCTAGGATCTTTATAGAGTTAAAGGCTGAGTAGGATTGTAATAGCGGAAGCGTTAAATAAGAGATCTTGAACCACCTTGCGCTGGTATGTGAGGGCAAAGTGAAGTTGATTAAAGCAAACAAGTACAAGGCTTTATATAGGAGTACAAGGAATACGAATAGATGAAGATAACTGTTTGCTGTTGCGATTCGATACAGTGCGACTCGGGCAACTGCTCAATGTCGAGTCAGTTGGGTGTCCTTACTGTCGCGCTGTATTGGTCAAGTCAAAGGTCGCTGGTCTTTGACCTTCGTGTAACCTCCAGGCGGTTACTCCCAACCTCCGAGGGTTGACATCGCGATGCTTCGATTCTGACTGCTTCGCTTTGAGTACTGTGTTTCGACACGACAGAGGCGCTTTAATACTTATTGTTCCCAACACTCCCCTTCGCTTCTGAAGTGTCGCTGATGGTGACGTGGCCTTGGTCCAGTCAGCAGCATGCAGTAATCGAACTTCTGTTTTCCGAGTTTCTTGGTCAAGTAGTCGCTGCCATCTCGGACGTGGGACAGTAGGATAACTCGAGTCTTCCTTTCTCGATCTCTGTCTTTCACGAAGAAATATCGCAGAGCGATATGCTTCGTTCTGTTCGCGAATCCGTTTTTGTTGGCGCATGCGAATTGCAGATTGGTTGTCGCAGTGCAGGGTAGAAGCTGGGCAACTCGGCTAGCTTTGCTTCTTCCAACAGTTCGCGAAGGTAGAGTCCCTTCCTTGGTGGCTGAGCAGAGGGCGATATATTCTGGCTTCAGCTGAGGAGAGTGCGATTAGTTCCTGCTTACTCGACTGCCAGGAGATAGGTCCGATAGGCTCGAGACGGTAGACCGTAGCCAGTTCGAGAGCGCCTGTTATCTGGATCGCCGGCATGGTCGGCATCGACATAGCCGATTAGCTTCGTTGGCGCAGCTTCGTTCTTGTAGTAAGTCAGGCCGATCGTCGGCGTACTCACGAGATAGTGCAGTGCGCGATCGAGCTCTGCCATGTGATCTGCTTCAGGTCTCTTGAGGTAGGTAGCGAGTTGGCTAGCGGAGTAGGACAAGTCCTGGGCGACAGGTGACGGCTGCGAAGAGTAGACAGCCCAGTTTTTCGCTGGTAGTCGCGTATTCCGGCGGTTTTAGTAGAGTGGAGTTTCCTTGGTCGTTCCTCCTGCCGTGTAGCGGTATGGCGTGGCGATGGAGGGGTAGGGTTGAGCGAGAAGCGCTTGGCGATCGTGTCGGCGGTATTTCTCGGCGCTTAGATAGATTGCGTTTTCTTCTTCGCGGATGTTGAGAAGCCCGAGGTACTGCGTGACGGTAGAGGAAACGGTGAGCGTGAGATCTTTCTGCAGCTCCCCTTCGAACCAGTTGGTGACGTCGTCGGTGGAGCCAATGTAGAGAAGATCGTCGACGTAGACGATGAGTAGGATGTAGTCGGTGCTTTTAGTGAGTCGGTACATGCCCTGCCATGGGGGCAGTTGGCGGAATCCGATGCGGATGAGGCGGGTGTGCAAGTGCTGTTGCCATAAGCCGTGGGGGCCTGCTTGATTCCGTAGAGGGACTTTAGTAGCTGGAAGACCTGGTTGGGTTTTCCCCGTGGGTACCGTGAGGGAGTTCGACGAAAATGTCGTGCGTCGACAGGTGCGTAGAGGAAGCGTTGCGACATCAATTTGTCGCAGTTTCTTCTTCTTCATGCCGGCGACGGCGAGAAGAATGCGGAGTGAGGTATGTCGACTAACTGGGGCGAAGTGTCTCGGTGAAGTCTCGCCCTTGCTCCTGGTCGAATCCCCGCACAACCCATCGTGCCTTGAACTTCTCGATTGTGCCATCTGCTTTCGTTTTGATGCGAAAGACACCATTTCCCGGTGAGAATGGTCTTGTTCCTTGCCACGCTTGCGGGAACGACCTTCCAGGTGTTGCGTTCCTCCAGTGCTTTTAATTCTCTGTCCATGGGCTTCACGCCATTTCTCTCTGTGTTCCCCCCCCAGAGCCTGTTGAACCGTCGCAGGCTCTTTAGGAAGAGGGGAGCCATGGACGGCCGTGACGAGACCAAGGATTTGCAGTCCGGTCTGTGAGTAGCGGGGGAGTGTTGTGTCCTCGGGATAGGCTGCTTCGTCTCCCGCTTCTGGGTCGGGTATGAAATTTGGCCCTATCCTTTCTGCTTCGTTGGTGTTGGCTGTTGCAGGTGTTACGTAACCGGTGTCGGCGAAGTGATAGAAGACTTCGGCGTTGTTACTTTCGCGAGGATTGTCTTCGTCCATGGGCACGTCGACGGAGCAGAACGGAAGAGGTCCGGCTTCCTCCGATGCGTTGTCAACGTTCTGTTCATCCCAGTCTGCTTCGTCCGCTGCTGAGGCGAAGGCTCGGTCACCACGAAAGCCACCTGTGGGGTCCTGATTCTCGTGCAAGTTGGCGAGGTACGTCTGAAGGGTGAGTCTTTCGTAGAAGATCACATCACGTGCTGCCACTGTTTCCTTTGAGTGGACGTCGAAGATTTTCCATGCGTTGTAATTTTTCTCGATGCCGAGGTGTAGTCCCCACTGTGCCCGTTGTGAAAATCTTCCCGCGCGTGCTTCTGGGGGTCGGTACTGTACCATGCACCCGAAAACTCGTAACATTTTTGTGCTGCCCTGCTTCCCTGTCCACAGCAGATGTGGTGACGCGTTGTTCGGGAGTGACGACGATGAAAGCAAGTTGTGCAGCATGACAGCGTGGTCCATTGCTGCAGGCCACTGGTGGTTGGGTAGCCGCATGCCACGCAACAGTTTGCGCATGCTGTTCTGCAGAGTCCTGTTCATTCGTTCTGCAACGCCTTGCTGCTGATGGGCGTAGGGAAGGGAGAGGAGTTGCTTGATTCCCCGTTCCGCCAGGTACTGCTTGAAGCGCTGAGAGGTATACTCTCCTCCTCCGTCTGACTGGAAGCTTTTTAGCTTTGCTCCCGATTCCCTCTCTGCTACCGGTAGCCAGGCGGCGAAAGCTGCGAGAGCCATGTCGCGGCTTGGTTGATTTAGGTGCCAAACGTATCGGGTGGCGGCGTCGATGAAGGTGATGGTGTAGTTGTAAGTCACTTGTCCTGGCTCTCGGTTAAAGAGGATGTCGCTGTATACCTTTTCGAGTGGTGCGTACGCTGGTGCGCTCGGGTTGTGATGTGGAGCGAACGGTCGATGAGGTAAGTCAGCTTCAGGGCATGTAAGGCAAGTCCCTCTTGCCCTTTGAAGTTCTCTGCCGTCGGGTAGTAGTAGGGAATCTTTGTCGAGAACTCCTGCTCGTATCGTGTTATTTAATGCTGTTTACTTGGATGTCCCAATCTTGCGTGCCAGGTTTCTTCAGAGTCGCGATGTCCGGGTGAACGTCGATAGGTGTCGGAGTTGGAGTAGAAGCTGGCGACGAGGTTGGCGCTCCTGTGGACTTCTCGTTGAGTCGGGTTCAGCTGTTGTGCGAGTGTTGGTGGTTCTTCTTCGACGATGACTGGTGTAGTTGGTCCTGCTGCTGCCGGTGATGTTTCTGCTGCTGTCGATGTTGGCTCTGCTGGTGCCGATGTTGTCTCTGCTGCTGCCGGTGTTGGTTCTGCTGCTGCCGTGTTGTCTCTGCTGCTGCCGATGTTGTCTCTGCTGCTGCCGATGTTGTCTCTGCTGCTGCCGATGTTGTCTCTGCTGCTGCCGATGTTGTCTCTGCTGCTGCCGATTGTCGAATGGTTGCTAATGCTCGTGTTCGTTCTGCTTCAGGAATGGTGTGTGAGTACCAGAAGCCTCCCGGGCTGAAGTCGGGATCGAGATCCGGCGGATGCGTCCAATCGGCGAAGTTGACGATAGCGTCGCTGTCGGCAGTGCCCAAATCGGGAACGAAGTAGAGGACGAAAACATTATTTTTCAATACCGCCTTTCCGATGTAGAGACCACCCTTCCCGTGGTACAACTTGAACTCCTGGGTGGTGCTGTCGGCTTCCAAGTGTATTCCTTTCGCCATCAACTGGCTAACACTCAGTAAGTTGTAGCCTAGTCCCTCCGCGATAAGCACTTTTGACATGTTGAGTATAACGTTTGTTTCTCGTGACTGAAGCTGTACCACCCCTGTCAGAATATTATCTTATGTTCTAGCCTGTAGTGGGGTGCTCTATAGCGAGTACAACCCTTCTAGGGTTTTGCTATTTGTATCCTCATTCCTGCTAGTTCAACCCTCTTTCTTTCTTCAAACTTTGACAACCCCTTGTCTCCGCGCAGGTTCTGATTGTTGGCGACCGTGATGACTACTTATCGCTGGAGTCGATGCTCGCGTTGAACGAAGCGCCCGGAGGAACACATGTGTTGTCCGCAGCAACTGTCCAAGAACCAGGTGTCTTGACCGGATGGTTCGCTTTGAGCGATTGCGGCATATGTTGGGTTCGGTTGAAGAGATTCGCGTTTAGGCGTTCTGTTGTCAAGTTGATCTTCGGGTGAGTAGTACGGTGGTGACTCTGTTGTGCAAGAGTCGTTTAACTTGACCATGCAGTT